CCGTGTTTGTTTGCCGGCAGAAGAAATTTCATTCGACTTTCAGCCATGCCGAGTAGCCTATAAACTATTGCACATCCGAGAGAACATGGCTGTACCGGCTGGTGAGCTACCAGTGCAGTTGCTGGAGGAGTTTTGTGTCGAATTGGCACCACCTCTCAACCATATCTTTTCTCGATCACTTAAGGAGCGCCAGGTCCCAGCAGTCTGGAAGAGGGGCGACCATCATCCCAGTTCCTAAAAAGACAACACCGAAGTCTTCAGGAGATCTGTGGCCTGTGAGCCTTACACCTACGTTTGGCAAACTTTGGAACAGTTTGCCTGTCCCCCTCATTCTGACAGGCATAAGGCCGCAAATAGATAAATGCCAATACGGTATTGTAAAGGGCGCCTCAAACGTCCCACTGCTTTATAAGATTGCTGCACAATTACTTTCTGAGTTGGATAAGCCAGACAGCTCTTTTCTGTAGCTCTTCATGATTTCAAGAAGGTATTTGATCTCTTCGACAATGCAACGGTGATGCAAAAAATATGCTCAGCATGGGACTTCACTCTGGCTATACAAAGTGGTTGGCCTCATTTCTCCAGGACAGAGAGCAGAGAGCAGAGATGCCAGATAGAACGGTTAGTGGTTGGAAATCGATAACTTGCGGCGCTCCGCAGGGCACCCTGCTTGGACCGGTTGCATTCTTAGATATGATCAACGGTGCCGCTTCGGAGACGCAACATCAGTTTGAAACATGTAGATAATTTATAAATATACGAAGCATGTGCAATTGACCGAACAGACGAACGCAGTCGACTGCAAGACAAAACTGACAAGATATGTGGATGGGCAGCTGCAAATTCATGATATTTAGTACTGAGAAGCAAATTCATGATATTTAGTACTGAGAAGTGTCAGGTGATGCACGTTTTTACTGCCAAGAAGCCCCTGATATTCGCGGACGTCGCAATAAATAGAATCAACCTTACCGCTTGTTAGCAGAGCCAACTTTTTAGGAGCAACATTATACAGCGATATGACTTGGCAGGCCCATGATTAAATTGTTTAGAGGGTTTCGAAGGCTTTATATATGCTTCACGTTATGAAGAAACTCCGTCCGCCACGAGATCAAGTGGTCAAAATTTACATGACATATGTTCGACCAACTGCTTAAATACTCTGCAAATGTTTTTCATCCCGGGCTCACCGGCCAGCAAGCCCGACAAATTGAGTGAGTACAGAAGCGGGCTCCCAAAATCATTGCCGGGTATGACAAAAGTTATCAACGACTTCTACAGATTCTGGAAATGGAAACACTTGCAGACAGGAGGGAGACGCTGTGCATACGGTTTTGACAGCAAATCCTCAGATCTCCAGAGCACACAGACATGCTCCACCAAAAAGAGAGGCAATCTCGGGAGGGACCACCCCATATGGTGGAAAGCTGAAGGCATTTTGTAGCGGCGCAAGGCTGCGAAAATCAAGCGTGCCATATATCACAACTCTCGTGAACATGAATATCATTGCATCTAGTTGAGGGGTAAGCCTCCACCACACTCGCCACTGCATTCGTAAAGACGTTCATTGAATGTTAAAAGCAGGGGTGGTAGAACCTGCCATCTTGGTGGTTGAGGTCGGCGACAAAAATGCATATATTCACAAGAAGCTTCGTGCCAAAAATGTGTTTTAACAGCAGCATACTATGCAAAACATAACATAAGGTCTCGATACGTAGATGTTATGCCTCCATGGTAATACATTTTGTCACACGACACAAGCAAACGTTTCTGTAGAGATTCTTTACCGTACGCTATGGCACCCTGGCATCTTTCCTAGGTTTCATTCAACCCGGCGACAAAAATATCCTATGGTTCTTAGTTGGGCGGCCGACTCGGTGACAGCCGGCGGCAAATCAATGTATTTCCTATGGCCCGGCCGGTCAGCCGGTTCGCTGTTTTTAACAGCCGACTCTCAGTGTCCCAAACTAGACAGTATAAAGCACTGAAACGGATCTAGATATGGGGATTCATCTGTCCGCAAGGGGCGTGTTTTCAAGTGTTGCGACGTGACTGACATGAGGTGAGCTGTCACTTTCATTGCACTGCAACTTTGCAAGTAGGGTTCGCATTGCAGTGTCATGAATACCTGCCTAAGGTTTAATTTCTTGCCTTGTTTACTTCGTTGGCTGTGCCGTGATTCAGCATCCTGTCCTCAGCGACGAGAGGTATTGACAGTTCAGGTAAGTCAGTGGGATGACCCGATCAAGGTAGAAATTGTCCTGTGATTATCCAAAACGCCTTTTCAAGACACCGAAAGGGCTGTTGATTCTTTGAAACAGTCAAAAGCGGCCAGCCTTCTTCCCTTTCGAAGAATCGTGGATTTGATGTTGAAGTCTGATCGCACTGCTCATGAAGGGGAATAGCTGGAGATGATATTGAATATGAAATACCAATTTATGACATTGTTGCGCTTGCCCTGATTGAGAATGGTTACCAGTCACATATATCTTTAAATCAGGAGTGTTCCTACTTCTTATCTAGTTCAGCGGCTCCCCCAGGTTTGTGAGCAGGTGTGCCAATCTGGAAGGCATCCATATTTTTTTTTGGGGGGGGGACATTGCATAACCTTTCACTGATCCCGAAGCTATCTTCATAAACTATGACTCTCCCTGCAATGGCTTTTAAGCAATTCTCATCATTTCAACCTTTTGCTAACAGGAACCTTGGTTGCTGGAAATCACATGATACCAAATGATGTAGGCCATGGTAAAGCAATGGACGTGAGAAGTGGAGTGGTGTAGGAAATGTAGGCAATGAGGAGGGGGGAGGTGGGTGCATCATTACCATCTCCCCTTTACCGAGAGTTTTACGTCAAATAGCCGGTGGTCTTATGGTACTGTGGTCCAACTGTCCTATGAAGTCAGTGAAAGGCTCGTATTTGGTTGTCTCTGAAGACAATGTTGGCTATTTCCTGATGATAGCACCCATAGATCATAGTTCCCGCATGCAAGCCGCATTCATAAGAATATGAAAACTCAATGGCTGGAATACGGCGATTTTTGGTGGATGGAGCCCTGCACTATAAGGAACTCACAAAGAAGTCTTCTCCAGTTTTCTAGTATTTTTGCGGTGCAGATGTGGTGGAAATTCGGCTACCGTGGAGTGTCCTGCTTCCGATCACTCCCATATGGTGTCTTGTTAGATCTGGCCGCTGCTTTTGCTCTAATCGCGCAAAGCGCTCAATAATGGTGTAGAAACTTGCAGAACTCGCATGGTATATGACTGGCATCTGGCTATTCTATATTCCCTGGATCTTCATTTCATTTCGGCACCCGAACACCTAAAATCAGAGCATAAACACAAGCATGCAATAGCAAGGTTTTCATTGGACAGCATTCACTGCCGTTTTGACCTGGCAACAACAGACAATTCTTAGTCGTGCAGAAGACATTAGCACGGCACACTGTCAATACCCATGAATGCAGCAAATCACAACACCGCATGCCAATCGTCCAATACCCGCGCCATTCATCAGTGTCTTGGCTCCTATCTCAGTGATTTATTTGTGATGCTGCTTCAAAGGCATTGTTACGTCCGCGCGGGCGAATGTCACTCGGGTTCGATCCGCTATCAACAAATACGATTGATATGTTATGTTTCAAACCCCACACGCGCACGACTCAGAATCTTGACGGCAACTGTATTTCTGTGCAGCCACACAAAATAAACAAAATAACGAGCTACCAAATCCCTGCATCACTTTCCCTGTATGACGGGAAGTGATGCAAATACACTGCATCCCAACACCTCCCCAAGACGCTTGCGGAAGGGGATGACGCCAGACGTCTAACATAGGTCCAAGGTTAACACATGGGTGTGACTTAACGCCCGACTGGAAGATAACTCCAGGCTGAACGAGCTCATGCTGCGGCAAAACCAGAAACACACAAGGGCTGCCGGCTGATACGTGGAAGGGGCGAGGGGAGGGGTTGTTCACACATGCGTGTATGTCGAGTCTGACCACCTGATGGACAGACGCTGTGGTTGGCAGCGGATCCTCAGCTCCCGTGGGCGGGGGCGGGGCGGCGGTGACGCCACAGGCGCCGGGTCCGTGATGGGCGTGATGTCAGACGCAACGCACGCCTGGTCGCCGGCCAGGCTGAGCGGCGAGTCGGCGGCGACGTCTGGACACCCAGACTGCTCGACACCGGGTCTGGCCACCGGACAGACAGCCGCCGAGTGGGTCGAGGGAACGGAGCTGAGGTGGCGGCGACAATGCAGGCGCCGGCGCGGTGTTGGCGGGTGTGTCAGCCGCGGGTCGTCGCAGGCCGCCGGCCAAGCTGGGCGGCGCGCTGTCATTGGCGACCTCTGGCTCGGCGGTGCTCGGCCGCTGAGCGGTCCTCGTCTCCGCGTCATCGGGCAGGTCAAGGTGCTCACTGGGCACGGCACCGGCGGCGCCATATCTGGTCCATCCACTCCGTGATTCTGACTGTCGCTGGTCGTCGCGCGGTCCTGACTGCCGGCGCTGGCGATCAGGGGTTGAGAGCAGGGCGGAGGAACTGACAATTCAGCCAGAAGATGCGGCCGCTCGGTAGCCGGACGAGGTAGTCAGCGCCACGATACAGACGCCGGTGACGGTGCCGGTGCGGTCCCGCAGATGAGAGGTCGGATCCTGGATGAGGACGCGCTGTCTGACCCGCAGCGGGCGGTGACGCCTCGCTGACTCGTCATACCGCTCTACGGAGCGCTCCAGAAGCTTTGCCGCCTTCGCATCGCAGTCGTACGCGGCCTCCTACCAGCACTGAGCGAACGCGTGGTGGTGTACCGGGACCGCTGAGCGCAGCGGGTGACCGTAAAAGATCTGCGCTGGAGATCGGCCGTGTTCAGATCTCCGCCGGCGGTGGTTTTCTGGACGAGCCGTTTGACGACCTTGACGGCCGCCTCCGCGTGCCCGTTGGACTGCGGGTAGCGAGTTGTTGACTGTTGATGGTCCACACCCCACCGGCGGAAGAACTCACGGGTGAGCCGGGCGCCGAACTGGGGCCCTCCGTCGGTCCTGATGTAGGCCGGTACGCCGGTGGCGGCGAACATGCCGCGTAGGCTGCTCACCAGGTCTCTGGCTGACGCCTCTCCGGTTACCCGTGACACGAATGGCCAGCCAGAGAGCCGGTCAACGTAGACCAGGAAGGTCCGTCCGGCCCAGGCGAAGTAGTCCGCGGGACGCTTCGAAAACTCGCGAGGGTGCCTCCTCCGTCATCATGGGTTTCTTTCTGCTGACTGTGCAGTGCAGTTGATCATTTGATGCAGGCGCCGATGAAGTTCGTGATGTACCTGGCCCACCCGGAGTCAGTACACCGCCTGCCGTGCCCGCCTCTTGGTCCGCTAGACGCCCCCTGGTGGCTGGCGTGAAGTTTCTGGAGAGTGGCGCGGACGGAGGCACTGCGGTATACCAACCGCCGGACGCACACCAACAGGCCGTCATCCACCGCCAGACAGTCTCGGAGGCCCCAGTAGGGCCCAGCAAGCGCTCCAGCTGCGTCCGATGCTCTGGAAAACGGTCAAGATGGCATCTTTCAAGACGACCATCTCCGGGTCCTTATCGGCGACGGCGCGGAGTTCGACAGCGTGACGTACCGCAGCGGCCTGGCGCCACCGTCGGTGTCGGTGTCGTCACCCACGAGCCTGGCGACCATGCTGGCGACTGGTGACTGACGTCTTACTCCGCTTCCTCGTCGTCAGGCGTTGGGTCATCCACGGGCGCCCGAGACAGCGCGTCTGGGATGGCGTGCAGCTTTCCCTGCCGCCAGGTGGCGACGAAGTTGAACTGGCTGAGTCGCTCCCGGAGACGCTGCAGACGAGGGTTCTCGATGTCCGCCATGCTTTTCGAGTTGAGAATGGTGATCAACGGCCGATGATCCGTCATCACCTCGAACTGCTGCATACCGCTGATATATGTGCTGCATTTTCGGTACGCCCACGCCAGGGTCAGCAGCTCGTGTTCAATCACTGCGTAGCGTGACTCCGTCTCCGACAGGAACCAAGATCCGCACTGGATCAGGCGCCACCGGCCAGCCCTGTCCAGCTGACGGAGACAGAAACCGAGACCGCCGGCGCCGGCTGCGTCAGTCTCCTGCACCGCCCGTCGCAGCGGATTGAAAAACTCCAGCACGGGAGGCGACAGCAGCGCCATCTTCGCGGCGGCGAACGCCTGATCGTGGGCCGGCGTCCACAGCCAGGCGTTCCGCGGCCGCTGCAGCTGACGGAGCGGTTCAGCGGCCGCGGCGACATGAGAGGAGAAGGACCCCAGTTGGTCGACTATGCCGAGGAATGATCTTAGGTCGGTGATGCTGCTGGGCTTCGGGAACGAGTTGATGGCTCGAATCTTCTTATCGTCAGCGGTATAGCCAGTCGAGCTGATGTTGTAGCCGTAGAATTCTACTTCCGCCTCCGCGAAGCAGCACTTTTCCGGGTTCAAGGTGATCCCATGCTCTTCACACCGCCGAAATATTTGGCGCACATGCGCCACACGGGCTTCATACTCAGAGTCATAGGCGAGCACATCGTCCACCACTTTGCAGGTGTTCGGGATGTCTCCCAGGGCGGCATCGCCGCGCTGGTTGCACACATCGCCTGAGCTGACGATGTCCGTCGGGGCCCCCTTGTACCTGAACCTGCCCCACGGCGTGATGAAGCATGTCAGGTCTTGATCCTCCTCTCTGATTGGGATCTGGTGGTAGCCGGCCTTACTGTCCAGCTTGGTGAGGACGGTCGCGCAGGGCGTGACTGCTGCCACCGCGTCCTGCGGCGAGCGGACTGGGTGGGCCGGCCTCTTCACGAATCGATTCAGCTTCATAAAATCGGCCATGAGGCGGCAGCCTAACACTGCACCAGCTGGCGACCGCTTCGCCACTGGGACGATGGGGTGACACCACGGCGTGGGGTGCTCGACGGGCTCTATGATGTCCTTGCTGAGGAGGTCATCCAAATGCTCTCTGATATCCTGTCTCCAGCAGAACGGAATGTTCCTCGCTGTCGAAAGCGCATGGGGGACGGCGTCATCTGTCAGCTCGATTCGCATCATCTCTCCCACCATCTTCCGCAGAGGTGATTGTGCTTCAAACTGTGCTTCAAACTGATGTTTCCACTGCTGCGCCGAGGGGGCGCCACCGGTGCTCTTCTGTGCCGGGTCGTCGCCGCCGGTTCTCTGCCCTGTCGGGGCGGCACAGCCGGTCCCAGCGAGGCGCTCCGGCTGTGTTATGGTCGGTTCCATCTCCGTGTCTGAGGGCGAACTGGCTTCTCGCTGCTTCGACGCAGCCTCTTGCGCGGCGCCGTGCGCCGCCGCCACTGACACCGTCGGCCCTGTCTCGGCAGTGGTAACGCTGAAGCTGGCCGCGCCGCTGTCCGGGACAGACGTGATCCCAGGGCGCCGGCACCCGGCGGCCGGCGGAGAGCGCGCCGCGGGCGGTGACACAGCGGTGACATGCTGATCCGGCGTCGGCCAGCGCGGCGGGCCGCTGCTGACCTGTCGAATCTGCGCCGGGAAGCTCGGGAGGAGTGTGCCGAGCTCCATGCAGTCGTGTCAGAACAGCAGAGGGCTGTGCAGACCGAGCTCCATGCAGTCGTGTCAGGACAGCAGAGGGCTGTGCAGACCGCGAATCACGGACACATCCACTGTGCTGACGACGTCACCCAGCTGCAGTGTGACGCTGCCGGTGCCGACGCACTCCATTTCCCGGTTGTCGGCGTTCAGCAGACGGGTGACTGGCGGCTGAAGGTCTTCACCATACAGGCCCATCTCTTCCGCGCTGCGAAGCGATAGGGCTGAAGTCTCAGCTCCTGTGACCGGTGTCCATTCCGTCTCCGACACGCCGCCGTCCGCGCGGCGCAGCTGCAGGCGAACGCGCGGGGTCCGACGGGCCATGTGTCCTCGTTGCAGCACGTCAGCTACGCGCTCCGTGCGTCGGATTGACGGCACGCGCTCCGAGCTCACTTGAGCGTGCGCCACCAGCGACATCCGCCGGCGACCGCCCGTCGACCTTGTACGACCACGCGTCGATGTCGACGGACCGCCCTCACGGCCGGCCCCGGTGGGACACACAGCGGTGAAGTGTCCCACTTGACCGCAGGAATGGCATCTCCGGGACGCCGCCGGGCCGTTGCACCGCCGGCATGGGGCTGCGCACCGCACTTCCGACATGTCGGCCCGGCCCGGCTGTCTGTGCCCGAGACGCTGGGGATGCGGCTGCCGGGGCTGACCGCTCGGCTGCGCGACCGGCGGTAGCTCAAGACCATTGAAACCGCCGCCGAGCCGCCTATCGCCGTGCTGCTGTTCGCTGCATTTTCCGACGCCCGGCATATGTCGACGGCCTTGGGCAACGTCAGGTCGGGCACCTCCAGCATGCGGCGGCGAGTCTCGTCGTTCGTGCTGACCAGCCGGTCGCGCAGACGATCGTCGTAGCAGGCTGGTCACAGATCACAAAACGCAGCGATCTCCCGGAGGGCGCACAAATATTCGTCCACCGCCTCTCCGCGCTCCTGCACTCGGGTATCGAAATCCTGGCGGTCCAACACAGGATTTCGTTGCCGCCGCAGATGCGCGAGCATTGCGGTGATAATCACATCAATGCCTCCTCGGTCGTCGATATGGGCAGACTGAAACGCACGACTCTCAGCCAATTGTCGTCCAGTGATGTCAGCAGCGTGGCCCGCTGCTCGGCGGGCGGCAGCCCGACAGGCGCCCGGAGACGCGGAACTCCTGGAACCGGTAGCGCCATACATCAAAGTCCCGCAGGGATGCGGAGGACGACAGCCGCGGCGCAGAAACAGTCGATCGCCCGCGCGGCGGACCACCGCTGGCTGTTTCATTTGTGGCGCGTAGAGTCACCTGGCTCGCTGGCTGCGCGGTGGCTATCCCCGGTGACATGAGTCGCGTCATTAGCTCTGTCGTCTGCTGCTGTTGCTGCATGACCAGCTGTGTCAGCATATCAACTGTGGACGTCTTGTGTTCCTCCGCAGCGGCCTGCATGGGCTGTAAAACCGCTGACGGCGCCTGCGTCGCCACTGCCGCCGCCGCCACGTGCGCTGCTGTCGGCTCGGCGCCCGGCGGATGCTGTGCCGCCGTAATGGGGCTATCCAGCGCACGATCGTGTCCTGCCGACTGCGCCATGTTATGTCCGCGCGGGCGAGTGTCTCGGGTTCGACCCGCTACCAACAAATACGATTTATGCTTTATGTTTCAGGCCCCAGACGCGCACGACCCGGAATCTTGACGGCGACTGCATTTCTGTGCTGCCACACAAGATAAACAAAACAACGAGTTCCCAAATCCCTGCATCACTTTCCCTGCATGAAGGGAAGTGATGCAGATGCATTGCATCCCAACAGACATAACTCAATAGTTTGATTTGTTTGTTTGCTTGGAAGTCTACTGTGGTCACGAATGAGTCATGCATACAGAATGTTGAGTTTTGTTTTGTTTCTTGTGTAGATGATAGAATACCTGTGTTTTGTGTAAGCGTTTGGCGCGAGAAGAGAGTACTGTGCTCGGGCTGTACGTGAGTCCTTGGCGCCCCTTCCATGAGGTGCTCCGTGAGACGTCGGAACAAAAATGTTGTAGTTACACCACTGTAGGATACGGAGCCTTGCAGCGACATCTGGCAGCAGTCAACAGAAGGGTGGAAATGACCACGCGTCGGAAATCAGTTCTTTCCAACGCTTTATCAGTTGGTATGCGTGTAAAAGGTGTCCCCTTGCCGGATGTTTCACTAGTGCAATTTATAGAATGGTAGTCGGGACGGATTACGACGAGCCGTGATGGGAAGGCGCAATGGTGTAATCTCTTGCTCGTAATGCTGCAACTGCTAATTCCGTTCAAGGAATCATGTTGTCAGCCAACTGAACTACATTGGTAAAACGCTCTGGTCAGCAGCTGAAGGCCATTCCGTTCCATCCTGTGGTCCACAGCGGTTTTTATTCTGGTGATAGCCCCCCGCCAGACCGTACGGAGACGCTCTGAAGGATGCATCACAACCGGTCCTCTCCTCGATGCGGCTGGCCCTCTGACTGAGACATCCAGCAGCGGATCGGCGCAG